TATTTATATATATATATAAATATATATATATATATATATGTATATATATATATATATATATTTATATAGACCTGCAATTCCAACTCCGTTATTAGCAGAAGCTGCGAGGATTCCGGCGACGTGGGTGCCGTGGCCGTGGTGGTCCATCGGTTCAGCAGAGTTCGCCTCGAAGTCGAAGCCGTCGTAGTCGTCGACGTAACCATTGCCTGACCAGCAACAACAGCAGCAGTCAGAGCATGAAAGCAGCAGCAATCAGAGCATTAAAGCAGCAGCAATCAGAGCATGAAAGCAGCAACAATCATAGCTGCAGCAGCAATCAGAGCAAGAAAGCAGCACCAATCAGAGCACGAAAGCAGCAGCAATCAGAGCACGAAAGCAGCAGCAATCAGAGCACGAAAGCAGCAGCAATCAGAGCACGAAAGCAGCAGCAGAAAAGAAGAAGGAAGACGAGAAGAAAGGGCGGCAACAGCAACATACAGAAGCAGCAGCAGCAGCAGCAACAATATCATCATACCCATCATCATTTTCAGCAAGCAACAACAGCAACAGCAACAGCATTAACAGCAACAGCAACAGCATTAACAGCAACAGCAGCAGCATTAACAGCAACAGCAGCAGCATTAACAGCAACATCAGCAGCATTAACAGCGACAGCAGCAGCATTAACAGCAACAGCAGCAGCAGCAGCAGCATTAACAGCAACAGCAGCAGCATTAACAGCAACAGCAGCAGCATTAACAGCAACGGCAGCAGCATTAACAGCAACATCAGCAGCATTAACAGCAACATCAGCAGCATTAACAGCAACATCAGCAGCATTAACAGCAACAGCAACAGCATTAACAGCAACAGCAACAGCAACACCAACACCAACACCAACAGCAGCAACAGCAACAGCAGCAGCAGCAGCAGCAGCAGCAGCAACAGCAGCAGCAGCAGCAGCAGCAGCAGCAGCAGCAACATTCAGACCGTCATCATCGATTCCGTTGTTGGGAATCTCCGCATAATTTTTCCAGAGCCTTCCTTGCAAGTCTTCATGCGTATAATCTACGCCGGTATCAATAACAGCAACAATAATAGGTTCAGCACTATATCTTGCTGCTGCTGCTGCTGCTGCTGCTGCTGATGCTGCTGCTGATGCTGCTGCTGCTGCATCGGCTCCATCACCCTCGCGGAAAGCAGCTGCTGCTGCTGTTGCTGCTGTTGCTGCTCTTAGGGCTGCTTCCCGCTGCTGCTGCCTTCGTCTGTACACCCGACGCCATGCCTCTTGAATATTACAGCCCAGCGTGCTGTGCGTCAGCCCCCACTGTCGCGAGAAGTAAACATCATTTGGCTTCTTATCTTCAGCAGCAAGAAACTCTTCTCGCTGCTCCATCTCTTCCTCTTCATCAAACGCATCTGCAGCAGCAGCAGCAGCAATAATAATAATAATAATAATAGTAATGAGAGTAATAGCGGCAGCAAGAGTTATTCGCAGCAGCATGAGTTATTAGCTGCAGCAAGAGTTATGAGCTGCAGCAGCAGCAATAGCAGCAACAGTCAGCAGTAGCAGCAGCAGCTGCTGCTGCATTAATAATAGCCAACGCTGCTATTGTAATAGCAGCAGCAGCAACAGCAGCAATAATAACAGTCAGAGGGCTTCCTCACCCATTTCATCTGGCCGGTCGTTTACATCCCATGCTGCTGCTGGCGGTGCTGCTGCTGCTGCTGGCGGTGCTGCTGCTGCTGCTGGCGGTGCTGATGCTGCTGCGGGCGGTGCTGATGCTGCTGCTGGCGGTGCTGCTGCTGCTGTTGCTGCTGCTGGCTGAAGGCGCCGCACGTTGGCGCCGAACTGCAGCTGCTGCGGAGTTGCTGCTACAGCAGGTGGGATCTGCATTTGCTGCAGATATCCTTCACTAAGAGGCTCAGGGCTGAGAGAAGCAGAGCGAGAAAGAGAAGCTGAAGAAGCGGACCCTCTGCTGCTGCTGCTGCTGCTGCTGCTGCTGCTGCTGCTGCTCTCATCACGCTGCTGTGCCTTGAGCTTAGTTGCTTTCTGCTGCTTTTGAGAACGCATACGCTGCTGCTGCTGCTGCTGCTTCTCCTGAGGAGGCTTCTCCTGCTGCTGCTGCGCCTTCAGCTTGTGATGTTTTTGCTGCGGCGTCTCTCGGGGCTCCTTCATGGGTTTGCTTTTCGTTTGTCTTTGCTGCTGCTGCTGCTGCTGCAGTTTGCTGCCGCTACTCCTCTCCTTTTTTGTTGCTGCTTTGGCGTCAGTTTGCAGGGCTTTTATCTCCTGCTGCTTCTGTTTTCTCGCTGCACTTTTCTCGAGTCGCTGCTGCTGCTGCTGCTGCTGTCTGGCCTTAGTGCTGCTGCTGCTGCTGCTGTTGCTGCTGCTGCTGCTGCTGCTGCTGGGGACCGTATATACATTATTTTCTGTATCCATGAGTATACGTTTGTTTTGCGATTCGACACGGAAGGGCATTTCACGTTCAGTTGCTGCTGCAGCTGCAGCTGCAGCTGCTGCTGTTGGTTTTGGTGCTGCAGCTGCGGGTTTAGCAGCAGCAGCAGCAGGAGGAGCGGCTCTTGCAGCAGCAGGCATGAAGGGTGTTGTATCTCTAATTTTAACCTCAGAATCAGCCTCTATAAGCCAGGCAGCAGGCGAACGCAGCCAAATGTGTTTGACTGCCTCTCTTATCTCTGCTTCTGTAGAATTGGGTAGGAAGTCCACAACAACTAAGCCGACCTCCGGCAGCACCTTAACTTCACCGACAACTTGCTGCTGCTGCAGCTCCTCTGCATGAATTGCTGCTCTACCTGCTGCCTCTGCCTCCGCTCTCGTACTTAATGGGCGTCCTTCCCTGCTTGCGCTCCTGCTGCTGCTGCTGCTGCTTCTGCTGCTGCTCTCTTGACGCCGCTGCAGCAGCATATCAAACTCTTTATCACCCGACTGTAAATCTGCAACCCCAATTATTATGCGCCCATTCTGATGCCCAGATGTACGCGAAGCGTCTACAGACCTGCAGCAGCAGCAGCAGCAGCAACAACAGCAACAGCAACAGCAACAGCAACAGCAATAGCAGCAGAAACAGCAGCAGCAGTATCATCATCGGCAACAGCAGCAGCAGTATTATAATCATCAGCAGCATCAGCATCAGCAGCAGCATCAGCATCAGCAGAAGTACCAGCAGCATCAGCAGCATCAGCAGCAACAGCATCAGTAGCATCAGCAGCAGCAGCATTATCAGCATCAGCAGCAGCATAATCAGCAGCATCAGCAGCAGCATCAGCAGCAGCATCAGCAGCAGCATCAGCAGCAGCATCAGCAGCAGCATCAGCAGCATCAGCAGCATCAGCAGCATCATAAGCACCATGAGCAGTATCATCGTCAGCATCATGAGCAGCAGCATTACCTAGCAATAGCAGCGCTTTGTTTATCTACTTGTTGTGGGTCTAAGGCGAAAAGTTTATTAATTTGCTGTTCTAATTCATCTTCGCTTAAATTTGCGTCTCTCTTTCTGTCTAAAAAAGACTGAGGAAACTTTAAGTAACCCCCGCGACTTTCACTGTATGGAGGCCGCAGCAGACACGGCACAGGGTCATCCGACTCTGCTGCTGCTGCTGCTGCTGCTGCTGATCCTGCTGCTGCTGATCCTGCTGCTCCTCCTGATTCGGATGCTGAGGATTCCCGTGCTGTTCCTGATGGTGTACCTGCTGCTGCAGTTGCTGCTGCACCTGTTTCTCTATCTTCTGCTGCACCTGCTGCTGCACCTGTTTCTGTACCTGCTGCTGCAGTTGCTGCTGCACCTGTTTCTCTATCTTCTGCTGCACCTGTTTCTCTATCTTCTGCTGCACCTGCTGCTGTACCTGCTGTTGCACCTTCTGCTGCACCTGCTGCTGCACCCTCTGTTTTACCTGCTGCTGCACCCTCTGTTGTACCTGCTGCTGCACCTGCTGCTGCACCCTCTGTTGTACCTGCTGCTGCACCTGCTGCTGCACCTGCTGCAACTTCTCCTGCACCTTCTTGTGCACCTGCTGCTGTACCTGCTGCTGCACCTCCTGCAGCAGTTGCTGCCTCTTGTGCGGTACCTGTTGTTACACCTGCCTCTACATTTGCTGTTTCATCTGCTGCAGTCGCTGCTGCATCTGCTGCAGTTGCTTCTGCATCTGCTGCAGTTGCTGCTTCATCTGCTGCCTCTTCTTCAGTTGCTGCTGCATCTGCTGCCTCTTCTCCAGTTGCTGCTGCATCTGCTGCAGTTTCTGCTGCATCTGCTGCAGTTTCTGCTGCATCTGCTGCATCTGCTGCAGTTGCTGCTGCATCTGCTGCAGTTGCTGCTGCTGCTAGAGATTCCACATCTTGTGCTGCAGCAGGAAGTAAATATTCTTCTGCTGGCTTGAGCTCTGCCTGCGACTGACTTGATTTTGCAGCGATTAGATCGCCTGATGCCTCTGCTGCTGCTGCTGCTGCTTCTGTTGCTGCAGACTCAGCTGACCCTGCTGCTGCTGCTGGAGCTGCTGCTGCTGCTGGTGCTGCTGATTCTGCTGCTGCTACTGTTGCAGGGGTTTCTGTTTGGGCTTCGCCCTCTACAGTATTGCCGCAGTTGCTTTTTCCGTTGCTACCGCTGCTGCTGCTGCTGTCTTCGCAGCTGCTGCTGCGGTTGTTGTTGCTGCTGCTGTCGCTGCTGCTTTCGCTGCTGCTGTCGCTGTTGCTGCTGCTGTCAATGCTGCTGCTGCTGGAGGGATTGCCGCCCCTAAAGCTGTCTGCGGCAGCCGCCAGAAGAATGTGTGGAGCAGCTGCAGCAACTGACCCGCTGCTGCTGCTGCTGCTGCTGTTGCTGCTGCTGCTGCTGCTGCTGGGTTCTCGGAGCAGGAATGTTGCTGCTACCCCCAGCAGCAGCAGCAGCAGTCGCTGCTGCCGCCCCCTCAACTGCCGCATTTCCTGCAGTATCTTTCCTGGAAGACACGCTCGCTACGGCTGCTGCTGCTGCTGCTGCTGCTGCTGCTGTTGCGGTTGCAGTTAAGATGAGACCTTCTTTAGCTGCTCCTTTCTAGAGACAGCGTAATAAAAAGTAAAAAGAAAAACCTGATAAAGTCGAGGCAGCGCGGCTATGCTGTGGCTGTATGCGCCTATCTACCGAGCAGAAACTGCTGCCGCTGCTGCTGCTGCTGCTGCTGCTGCTGCTGCTGCTGTTGCTGCAGCGGCTGTCGCACGAAACCAAGTGGAAATAACCACACAACCCCACCCTAAAAAGTTTCGAAGGGAGAGGGGAGAGGCAGAAAAGTCTGAAGAGCGGGCGAGCAGCAGCTGCTGCTCAGGGTCACCTGCTCAGGGCGAGCAGCAGCAGCAGCAGCAGCAGCTGCTGCTGCTGCTGCTGTTGCTGTTGCAAACCTGGCAGATGTTGCTGCCGCTGCAGAATACCTCTGCTAGAAATAACTGGATAACGTCTTTAAAATAACAAATAAAGAGTTATTTCAGAGGGAAAGAATGTGCTGCTGTCAGAGTTGCTGCTGCTGCTGCTGCTGCTGTCTGTTGCTGCTGCTGTCCCCACAGGTTTCTGTGTCTGTGTGGGTGTCCGCAGCTTCTCCGTCTGTAGCAACATTTAATTTGTCTTTTCCCTGAGCTGCCTATACACCCTAACTCTTTACTCTTAACAAAACCATACAGACAAGCAGCACCTCCCTATACACCTGCATCCCTCTACAGCTGCTGCTGCTGTGGCTGAGACGCCGGCTAGCCGTAAAAAAGAAGCAGCTAGATACAGTAGAGCAGCAGCTGACTGCAGCGCAGCAGCAGCTAGCTACAGTGCAGCAACAGCTAGCTACAGTGCAGCAGCAGCTAGCTACCCCTTCCATAGACAGCAGCAGCAAGCTAAAGGCCCAGAATAAACAGCCAGCTACACTCCAAGGTGTAGCGGAGCAGCCAGCTGCGCTGTAAGAGGAAGCAGCTAGCTAGCTAGCTACCTAGCTACATCTACGGTATGGCGGAAGCAGCTAGCCTGAAGTAGTGCTGCTGCTTGCTGATTAGCGCTTTGCTGCTGCAGCAAAGACAGCAGTAGCAGAGACAGGGCTTAGGGTTTGCTGCCACCGCCCTGAGACGTTGCTGGCTGTCTTTGATTAGTTTGCTGCTGTCTCTGTTTGTCTGCTCTGTTTGCTGCTGTTCCCTCCTGTCTCCTTTTGCTGCTGCAGCGATTTCTTTGTCTGTCTCTCCGCACTTTACGGGGCCCCGCGCCCACCAAAACAAATGTTGCTGCTGCATCTGGTGCAGCAGCAGCAGCAGCAGCAGCAGGTACTCTTGCTGCTTGTGCTGCTGCTGCTGCTGCTACCTCAGCAGCAGCAGCAGCAGCAACCCGCCTACTGGGTGTTTAAAATATCTGTATGTATTAAAATGTCTCCTAATAAAGGAGGCCCCCTGAGCTGTCAGGGAGATATCTATCTGCCTACAGTGCAGCAGCAGCCCATGCTGCTGCTTCTGCTGCTGCTGCAGTTGTTGTTACCGCTGCTGCTGCTGCTGCAGTTGTTGTTACCGCTGCTGCTGCTGCTGCTGCTGCAGTTGTTGCTGCTGCTGCAGCAGTCGCAGCTGTTGCAGTTGTCGTCTCTGCTGCAGGATTTGCAGGTGTTGCATCATCAACTGCTGCTGCTGCTGCTACTGCTGCCACTCCTGCTGCTGCTGCTACTGCTGCCACTCCTGCTGCTGCTGCTGCTACTGCTGCAGCAGTTTTAGTTAGGGTTAAGAGCTTTAGAGTCAAGAGCCTGCCCCATTGCATGCAGCCCGTTATCAACGTAAAGAACTTCTCCTGTGACGCCTCTAGCCAGTGAAGACAACAAAAACAGAGCAGCACGGCCTACGTCGTCTGCCTCCAGCTCCTGAAACAAACACACAAACATATTTGCTGCTGCTGCTGCTGCTGCTGCTGCTGATGTTGCTGCTGTTGTTGGGGCTGTTGTTGATCGTGCTGCTGCTCCCCCTGCTGCTGATGCTGGTGCTGGTGGTGGTGGTGGCGCTGCTGCTGCTGCTGCTTCTGATGCTGTTGTTGATGCTCCTGCTGTTGATGGTGCTGCTGTTCCTGCTGCCGCTGCTGATGTTGCTGCTGCTGTTGATGTTGCTGATGTTGCTGTTGTTGGTGGTGTGGTGCTGCTGCTGCTGCTGTGGCTGCTGCTGATGCCTACAATTCTAAACCCTAGACCCTCAATCTAAACCCTAAACCCTAAACCCTAAACCCTAAACGCGGGGCTGTGGTAGAGAGGCCCGTAAGGCCTGTGTAAAGTGCTGCATTATGTGGGTAGCAGCAACAGCAGCAAGAGGCGCAGCAGCAAAAGGAGCAGCAGCAGGAAGCGGAGCAGCAGCAAGAGAAAGCCTAGCAGCAAGAGGCGCAGCAACAGCAGCAACAGTAACAACAGCAGCACCAACAGCCCCAGCAACAGCAGCAGCATCAACAGCCCCAGCAACAGCAGCAGCACCAACAGCCCCAGCAACAGCAGCAGCAACAGCCCCAGCAACAGCAGAAGCAACAGCCTCAGTCCCAGCAGCAACAACAGCCCCACCAACAGCAGCAGCAGCAACAGCAGCAGCAGCAGCAGCAGCAGCAGCAGCAGCAAAAGCATTACCTGCTGCAGCGGGGCATTGTTTTTAGAGTAATCGATGGCTAAATCAATGAATGTTTTTTCTCCTGTCTTCCCGATAGCAGCAGCAGCGCGACTCTTAAGAGGCCCCGCACTAATGCAATTAACTCGCACTTGCTGCTGCCTCCCCGCTTCAAATGCTAATGTTCGGCAGTCCGACTCAAGAGCTGCCTTCGCGCTGCTCATACCCCCTCCGTATCCTGCAGCAGCAGCAGCAGCAGCAGCAGCAGCAGCAGCAACAGCAGCAGGGGTAGTGGTAGAAACAGCAGCAAAGAAAAAGCACCAGGAGTTACAGCAGCAGGAGAAATAGCAAAGGTAGCAGAAGCAGCAGCAACAGAAGCAACAGTAATAGTAGCCGCAGCAGCAGCAGCAACAGCAGCAGCAGCAGCACCACGTGCATATAGAAAAGTTAAAAGGGAGAGGCAGGAGCCGGCAGCCTACGCATGCAACCAGACGGCTCTTCTCACAAACCCTAAACCCTAAACCCTAAACCCTAATCGCTAAACCTCTAAACCCTAAACCCTAAACCCCAAACCCCAAACCCTAATCTCTAAACCCTAATCTCTAAACCCTAAACCCTAAACCCTAACCTCTAAACCCTAAACCCTAAACCCTAGAGCGTACCTGGAATAACGCGTTCAGAGGCAATATAAGAGAGAGCGAGAGCAGCACCCCCTTTATTCATAAGAGGCAGGAAGTGCTGCAGCAGCGAGACAAACGAATAGCTGCTGCTGCTAACTGCAGCTAAATACCCCTTTCGAGATGTCTGCAGCAGGGGCCGAGTAACCTGCAGCAAAAGCAATAATAAAACGAAGCTAAATAAAAATAAATAATTAAAGATAAAGACAGCCATATTAATGAGGCAGGTTAAATAAATAAATAATAAACAATAAAAGAATAAACAAATAAGCAACTATGCAATACAAACACTACATGTTAATACCCCCTAAACCCTAAACCCTTAACCCTAAACCCTACCCGCTGAACCCTAAACCCTAAACCCTAAACCCGTAACCCGTAAACCCTAAACCCGCAAACCCGTAAACCCTAAACCCTAAACCCTAAACCCTAAACCCGCAAACCCGTAAACCCTAAACCCTAAACCCTAAACCCTAAACCCTAGAGCGTACTTCGGGTCCATTAGCGAGTGAATGAACTAAGATGTCGATTTTTCCTACATCTTTCTTTACTTTCTCAGCTACCTCTGATATTGTATAACCCTCAACTCCAGCATAACGCTTGTTGTTCGCTACCTGCAGCAGCAGCAGCAGCAGCAGCAGCAGCAGCAGCAATGTGCAATGTGCAGCAGCAAGTGCAGCAACAGCAAATGCAGCAGTAGCAGTAGGAAGGAAAGGAACAGCAAAGAAAGCAGCAGCAAAGCAGAAGCAGCAGCAAGTGAAGATGCAGCAAGTGAAGAAGCAGCAAGTGCAGCAGCAGCAAGTGCAGCAGCAGCAAGTGCAGCAGCAGCAGCAGCAGCAGCAGCCGTAGTCTGACTACTGGGGTGTAAAGGGATTTGCACCATAGACAAAAAACACATAAAAGCAAACATCGACAAACAAAACGAGCAATAAATAAATAAATAAATAAAATAAATAAATAAATAAAATAATAAATAAATAAATAAATAAATAAATAAATAAATAAATAAATAAATAAATAAATAAATAATAATTTATAATCTACGATTACCTCTGGCGGAACATCTTCGGGGTAATCGAAGACAGCATCGAGGGGATAAACTTTAAAGAACTGCATATCTACATTTGCTGCTGCATTTGCTGCTGCTGCTGCAGCAGCAGCACCACTATCACTACCACTACCAGCAGCAGCAGCAGCAGCAGCAGCAGCAGCAGAAGGGTCTAGAGTGAGAGCTGCATCTTGCGCAAATCTATCTGTCTCTAAACCCTTCTTAAATAAATTATACACCGGAGGCCAGGTGCCGACTAATATCTTCGCTCCGGCAGCACGCAGCAACTTGCAGATCGCCCAGCCGTAGCCGTTGCTGTCTGCTACTCCTGAACAAACAAACAAACGCAATTCTTACTTTGCTGCTGCTGCTGCTGGTGATGTTGCTGCTGCTGCTGCTGCTGATGCTGGTGATGCTGGTGATGTTGCTGCTGATGCTGATGCTGTTGATGCTGGTGCTGTTGCTGCTGCGGCTGTTGTTGTTGTTGTTGTTGTTGTTGCTGCTGTTGTTGTTGTTGCTGCTGCTGCTGTTGGAGGCTTACCCGCTACAAAGGCAGTCTTGCCGCGGAGATCTACGGGTAAGGGTCCGCTTAGGAGCTCCTGGCCTGCTGCTGCTGCTGCTGCTGCTGCTGTGCTGCTGCTGCTGTTGGTGCTGCTGCTGCTGGTTGCTGCCTGCGGCACCACCGCAACGTGCTGCTGCTGCTGCTGCTGCTGCTGCAGACTTGCTGAGGGAACAGCAGCCGCAGGGCGTAGCTGCTGCGGAAGATCTGCAACCCCTCTGGGGTCGGCGCCGAGGCCGACACGGAAGGCAGCAGCTTGCTGCTGCTGCTGCTGCTGCAGCAGCAGCAGCAGCACAGCAACAGGATACAAAAGACGCGTCATTGTTAACACGCTGGCTTGAAAGAAAATACGGAGAAGTAGCAGCCGACACCCCGATTGCTGCTGCTGCTGCTGCTGCTGCTGCTGCTCTGGCTGCTGCTGGTGTTGCAGTCCTGCTGCTGCAGTTACTGCTGCTGGCTTGAGTGTTGAAGAGGTAAAAGACAAATGCTAAACAAATCTGCTGCTGCTGTGCTGCTGCAAGAAGGAACGGAAAGGGCTGCTGATACTCTTGCTGCTGCTGCTGCTGCTGCTGCTGCTGCCCCCTGGGGCCCCTCCGTCGTGTCTTGTCTCACCAACTCATCGCCCGCCAACTCCGGTGCTGCTGCTGCTGCTGCCGCGGCGGCGGCGCTGCTGCTGCTGCTGCTGCTACTAGCAGTGCTGCAGCAAACTCTTAAAAGGTGTTATTGCAATTGACTGTATTTAAATTAGTTTTTTTGTTTTATTTATTATTAGCAAACTTCAGCAAGAAGGGCTTTACTCGTCGGTCGCCATGTGTGGCCGTACGAAGTACCCAAGCAGCAGCAGCAGCAGCAGCAGCAGCAGCAGCAGCAGCAGCAGCAGCAGCAGCAGCAGCGGGCACTCTCAACAGCCCGCGGTGCAGCTACAGCCAAGACGAGGGCTTCTCTTCTCGTTTATAATTAATATTATGCAAATAAAAGGGTTAAACTTCGTCTGGCTTGTCTTCTTATCATTTTAATTAAAGCAGCAGCAACAGCAACAGCAACAACCGCAGCAGCAGCAGCGGCAACAGCTGCAGCAGCAGCAGCAGCAGCCATAGAGCCTCCCCCTACAGGCAGCAAAAGAACCGCAAGCGGTTGGGGATTTGATGAGGCAGCAGCTGCTGCTCCACATCAGGGCTGAAGCCCTGCCAGCGCAGCAAGCAGCAGCAGCAGCAGCAGCAGCGGCAGCAGTAGCAGCGCTCTCCCCCTGCAGGCAAACTTAGGAGGATGCAGCAGGCGGAAACCGGCTCCGTTAGTGGCCCACCTGCTGCTTCAGCACGTGCTGCTGCGGCTGCTGCATCTGCTGCATCGGCAGCAGCAGCAGCAGGAGTAGCAGCAGCAGCAGCAGCAGCACCACATGCTCCCAGCAGCAGTCCAGCGCAGCTTCCTCTGCGTGATGAACGATGCGGAGCTCCGGTCGGGGGCCTCAGCAGCTGCAGCAATGCTAGCGAGGGCACCAATGAAGGCGGCAGCAGCAACTGCAGCAGCAGCAGCAGCAGCAGCAGCAGCACTGGCCGCCCCTTGATATCTTTCTCCCTCACCCCTAGTGCGTATGAACGGCCCCGCATGCAGCGCCTACAAAACTCAGCAGCTGCAGCAGCAGCAACAAGGGAGCACCTGCAGCAAGATGAGGGCCGCAGCAGCAGTGCAGCGCCGGCTGCTGACAGCCCCCATGCAGCAGCAGCAGCAGCAGCAGCAGATGGAGCTGCAACAGCAGCAGCAGGCAATAGAGGCGCACATAGAGAGTCCTCAGGCGCGGATACAGCCGACTCGTGCGGCTCCGCAGCAGCAGCAGCAAGAGCAGCTGGTGCAGCAGCAGCAGCAACTCCAGCAGCAGAAGCTGATCCTGCTGCAGCAACGACTGCAGCAGCATCAGGAGTTGATTCCTCAGCAGCAGCAGGAGCAGCAGCAGAAGAAGCTGTGGAAGGAAACACAATGAGCCTGGGTGCCTTCATGCGGCGAGGCGGCAGTGCAGCAGCAGCAGCTGCAGCAGCAGCAGCGCGTCGACGCCGATATCCGGAAGTAGCAGCAGCGGGCTGGGAGCCGCAGCAAGCTACTGCTGCTTCTGCTGCGAGCAGCAGCAGCAGCAGCAGCAGCAATGACAGTGCGATTGCAGCTATTTCTAGTGGGGCGCATGTGCTTGCTCCTGGTTGTGTTGCTGCTGCAGCTCGAGTTGCTGCAGTAGCAAAAGCAGAAGCAGCAGCAGCAGTAGCTTCGCTGCACCCGAGTCAGCTATGTTTGGTAGGCTCATCAGGAGCAGCATCAGCAGCAGCAGCAGCAGGAGTTGCTGCAGTGCTTCCGTCTGCTGCTGCTGCTGCTGCCTTCCGCAGCAAAAGAAAAAGATTAAGAAGCAGACGCATTGTTTTGAGCGAAGCTCAGTGGGAGGCTGCTCTTGCTGCTACGATAGAGAGGCGATATTACCCTGATCTACCGCTGCTGCGGTTGCTGCAGCAGCTGCTGGCAGCAGAAGGTGAAGGAGATGAGAAGAAGGCGCAGCAAATCGCTCACAAGATTTCGTATCTAGCTGCTGCAACACCAGAGCATCTACAGTCCGCCAAGAGGCAGCAGGAACTGCTGCTCCTGCAGCAGCAGCAGCAACAGCAACAACAACAACAAGAGCAGCAGCAGCAGCAGGAGCAGCAGCAGGTAGTTGCGGTGGAAAGCGCAGCAGAAGAAGAGGAGTCTCACAAAAGGCATAAGACGTCAGAAGCGCCTCAGCAGCAGCAGCAGCAGCAGCAGCAAAAGCGGCACAAGAAGCACAAGCAGCAGCAGCAGCAGCAAGTGATAGATGATGAAGATGATGAGGAGCCAGTTTTGCTGCTGAAGGAAGTAAAGCCGGAGCTCACAGAGCTGCTGCACGATGATGTCATTGACGTAGACGCATGCAGCAACAGCAGCAGCAGCAGCAGCAGCAGCAGCGACTCCGAAGATGAGGAGGACGGCGACGCTGGCGGTCTCTTAGACGCCGAAGAACTAGCGAAGCAGCAGAAGCGGCAGCAAAAGCTGCAGCAGCAGCAGCAGGAGGCGAAGCAGCAGCAGCAGCTGCTGCTGCAGGAAGCAGCGCAGGAGCAGGCAGCACTGCAGCAGCAGCAGCGACGGCAGCAGCAGCAGCAGCAGCAGCAACGGAAGAGAGAGCTTGATATTGATCAGTTCTTTGATTTGTTTACTTCAGAGGATCAGGCAAGCGCAGAGCAGCTGCTGCAGCAGCGGGAGCAGCAGCTGCGAGAGAAGCGAGCTTCTCTGTGGGTGCAGCAGCAGCAGCACAACAGCAGGCAGCTGCTGCTGCAGCAGCACACTGTAGCAGGCAGGACAGTGCCCGAAGGCCCTGCTGTGGGGTTTCACCCGGGAGCGACTCGCCTCTTCTTCAAGGGGATCGATGGAGACGACGATCCCCGCAACTTCATGCCAAGGTAAAGACACACTACCACCTGCAGCAGCAGCAGCAGCAGCAGCAGCAATAGCAGCAGTAGCAGCAGTAGTGGCAGCAGCAGTAGCAGTAGCAACAGCAGCAGCAGCAGCACCAGCAGCAATAGCAGTGGCAGCAGTAGCGTTAGCAGCAGTAGCAGCAGCAGCAGCAGTAGCAGCAGCAGTAGCAAAACATGTAGTGCATGCATTCGGAGCAGCAGCAGCAGCAACATCAGCAGCAACTGCGGCTGCTGCAGCAGCGCATAGAACAGCAAAAGAAGCTCTTGGCGGTTAAGAGCTTTTCTTGCTGCACTTCTGAAAAATGCTGCAGCACAAAACAGCAGACAAGCAGTCAAATAGTGTTGCTTCTCTGTGTGGGGTGAAGGAAGTTGTGCTGCTCATGAACGCTTCCTGCTGCTGCTGCTGCTGCTGTTGTTGTTGCTGCTGCTTGTGCTGCAGAGGGGAGGTGCATGCGGAGTGTACGCGTTTTACTACGCTGCAGCGGGAGCTGCAGCAGCGGCAGCTGCAGCAGCAGCTGCAGCGTCGTGTTGAATATCACTTGAATACGAAGAGCAGCGAAATGCAGCAGATGGTGCAGCACGGAGAGTTTAGACCCCCGCCGCAGCAGCAGCAGCAGCAGCAGCAGCAGCAAAAAGGAGTTCATATTGCAGGCGAAAGGCCTTTGGGTTATTCTTTCGTTAAATCGCCTGTTGCTCTACCTGCTAAAACTGCAGCAGAAGCTGACACCCGGAAGCTCACTTGGGGTAAGCCGCAACTGCTGCTGCTGCTGCTGCTGCTGCTGCTGGGTTTGCTGCTGCTGGTGCTGCTGATATTGCTGTTGCTGATTTTGATGCTGCTGCTGCTGATATTGCTGCTGCTGCTGCATCTGATGTCCCTGCTGCTGGTTTTGTTGCTGCTGATTGTGCTGTTGCTGCCAGCTCTGCTGTTGCTGCTGGTCTTGCTTCTGCTGCTGTTGGTTTTGCTGCTGTTGCTGCTGATGCTGCTGCTTTCCCTTGCGTTTCTGTTTTGTCTTCTTTCGGTGTGATATTGCCGCTGCTGCTGCTGCTGCTGCTGTGGCTGCTGCAGGTTCTTTGTTGAGTACACCGGTGTTAGTGCAGATAGGAGCAGCAACTCCTTGCATTGCTGCTGCTGTTGCTGGCGACCCTCCTCCTCTTCATTCGCAGGTTTTAGGTTTTAAGATGCCTGAGCCCGTAGGTAGAGAAGCTGCTGCTCTGCGGCTGCAGCAACAAGCAGCAGAGAAGCAGCGGAGGAGGCAGCAGCACCGTCAGGTCTTACGCGAAGAAGCAGCAGCAGCTGTTGCCGAAAGAAACATCAGCAGCAGCAGCAGCAGCAAGTATGGCACAGGCAGCATCAGCAGCAGCAGAGGCAGCACTCTCGGTCTTGCTGCTGCAGCAATGCGGAGGCTTGTACGGGCGCGCAGCACCTCGGGAGCAGCCAAGACTAGCAGCAGCAGCAGCAGCAGCAACGCACAGATTGCTGCTCTCATGCAGTCTCCTCTGCTGCAAGCGCTTTCTACTAGATTCGCACAAGAAGCAAACTCTGACTTTAAAATGCAGCGCTCTTCCGCCATAAAGCCAAAGGGTGAGCAAAGCAGCAGCAGCAGCAGCTCCAGCAGCAGCAGTTGCTGCTGCTGCAGCAGTAGCTGCAGCAGTAGAGGCACCAGCAGCAGTAGGAGCAGCTGCAGATGTATCAGGAGCTGAAAAAGTAGCAGCAGCAGTAGCAGCAACAGCAACAGCTGCAACAGCAACAGCTGCAACAGCAGCAGCAGCAGCAGCTGCTGCTGCTGCTGCTGGAGTGAATAGGGAGGCAGTAAGAGTTGAAGTGCTGCTGTGGTTTGATGCTGCTGTCTTTGTCGTGCAGGCAGCAGCAGCGGGCGCGCGAGAAACAGCAGCAGCAGGAGCGTCATATCTGTAAACACATCGGCAACACCGCAGCTGCCTAGCAGCAGCAGCAGCAGCAGCAAGTAGCAGCCAGCGGCGCCGTGGCTCTGCAGCACCATGTGGAGCAGCAGCAGCAGCAGCAGCAACATCGTAGGTCGCAGTAGGGGATACACCTGCGAGACAGGTGCATTGGGATTTTAAGCTCCCTTTGTAGTTGCAGCAGCAGCTACTGTTGTTGCTGCTGCTGCTGCTGCTACTACTACTAGAGCAGCAACAACTGCTGCAGCAGCAGCAGCAGCAACATATTAATGCAGTTTTAGTAGGGGAGGCCTTGAGAGCCTTTTGTGTAGTACATCAGCACCATCAGCAGCAACGTTGCGAGCAGCAGCAGCAGCAGCAGCAGTTTTGTGCTGATGTTGCTGCAGCAGCAAAATAGCAGCAGCAGCTGCTGCTCTGCTGCTGCTTCTGCTGCTGAACAAGCAGCAAATACGCCAGCAATGTTTAGATGTGCTGCGAGTTTTTTTGTTTTGTTTGCACTGTCATCATCTTTAACTCGTCTCGCATAGAACAAATAAATAAATATATATAATATATATAAATATATAATATATATATATATATAAATATATTATATATAATATATAATATTATTTATTTAGTTATTTATGTAATTCCTTTGAAGTATATTTTTGTGCAGAGTGCGCAGTAATATACAACAAATATATTTAATATACATAAGTGAAGTAAATAAATAAATAAATAAATATATAAATATATAAATAAATAAATAGATATATAAATCTACATATGTATACCTCTAGCAGCATCAGCAGCAACAACAGCATCAGCAACAGCAGCAGCAACAGCAGCAGCATCAGCAGCAGCATCAGCAGCAGCAGCAATGTTAGTAAGAGCGCATAGTAGAAGAAATGGGTTGAAGAGTTTGTAATTAAAGTAATTCATCAAGAGGGATCTTGAGGCTGCGAGCAGCAGCAACAACAATATCTATATCAGCAAGCAGCACTAGTTTTGCTGCTGGGTGCAGCAAGTCCGAGCTGCTGCCGGAGCTGCTGCCTCCTGCTGCAGCTTTCTGCTGCAGCAGCAGCGGGGGCGCCCACACCCCCACTAGCCCTAGCCGCAGCAAACTGCTGGCTTGCTGCAGCAAGGAGGAACATTGAAGCAGCAGCGGCTGCTGCTGCAGCAACTCTACAGCAGCAAACCAACGTAATACAGTGAAGGCGCGAGGAAGCACCTGCAGCAGATAGCCTCCATTAGGCAGCAGCATGAATGACTCCTTTTGCTGTGGTTTGCGAGGTCTGCTGCTGCTGCGGCTGTGCAGCAGCAGTTTGCTGCTGCTGAAGGCTTCTCTCAGCTTCTTTTTATCTGCTCTTTGTGGTGTACATGCAGCAACAAGAGCAGCAACAAGCAGCAAACGAGACAGCCGAGGTAGCTGCAGCAGGCGTGCTGCAGCATCAGCAGCAGCAATCTGTCCCCCCCAAATAGTTGCTGCTGAAGCAGCAGCAACACGACAGTCAACGATATCTGGTAGCAAGCGCGAGAATGGGTTTGCTGCAGCAGCAGCACAGCTGCTTCGGAGCTGCTCGTGCAGCAGATCGAGGGCCCCCAGCTGCTGCGTCCGCAGCAGCAGCTGCAGCGCGTAACCCCACAGCTCTCTGCATGCAAACTGCAGCTGCCAGAAGTCTGCTGAATTTAAATGCAAGCAGCGGCTGACATCGCCGCAGAACTTACCCCACACCTGCAGCAAATCAGTCTTCTCCCCGGTGCTCTTCGATATCAACCATACACCACAAGGCTCTTCTGCTGCTGCTGCTGCTGCTCCTGCTGCTGCTGCGGGGGTTGCTGCTGCTGCTGCGGGGGTTGCTGCTGCTGCGGCGGGGGTTGCTGCTGCTGCTGCTGCTGCTGTTGTTGTTGGGGGTGCCGGGGATGCTGCTGCGGTTCCATCTGCTGCTGCTGCTGCTGCTGCTGCTGCGGGCTCATCTGCTGCTGCTGCTGCGGCTGCTGCTTCTTCTGCTGCTGCTGCAGTAGGGTTGAGGCGCAGGTGTAGGTAGAAAGGAAAGCTGGGTGGTGCTGCTTGCACTGCTACCTGCAGCAGCGGCAGCCCTAGTCGGATGAAGCTGCGCTGCAGCACAAAAGCAGCAGCATCTCTATTGTAAGCAGCAAAACGAATGAAGGGTGGTGTGGGCAGGCCGTCAAGGGCTTCTGCTGCTAACGGGCGGCGCCCTATCAGCACCAC